AATGCTTCGACATCAGGGAATGGGTTGAACGCTGGTGCCAGCCATAACATCCAGTCCTCATGATGTGGATCGGCGCCGTGCACACGGATCGCCAGTTGTTGAGATGAGTAAGAGTAGGCCATGGGGGAACGGTCACTTTGTCGGCTTCCCTCCTGGAAATTCTCACCTCTGTGACTTCAGGATCCGCATCTCCGTCAGGGTCACGTGCATGCGAACCAGGATCCGATTCAGGTTTACCCCCTCCGCCCTTCTTCTTGTCATCATCATCATCAGGCGGATCTGGAGGATCATACCCCGTGCCGGTTCCTTCATCATGCTCGTCCTCTCCGTTCTCGTCGCCAGCTTCATCACCGTCATCGTCTCCATGGTTTTCCTGAATCGTTTCAGCGAATAATCTCCACTCATCACGATCAGCTCTGAGACGTTGTTCGGCTTTCTGGGCCTTGAGTACTTCACTTCGCAGGTCAGCAATCTTCTCTTCGTACTGCTCCGCGATCTCTTTCTCGATCTGACGCCTCCTTGCCTCATGGATAGAATCGTCATAGGCGACAGGGGGACCAACGAGGTCGTTGCCCTTCGTAGATGCGGTAACACCGTCGATGCCAACAGGTCTTGAGGAGCTGGCTGATGCTGTGGACTTCGATCCCAACATCCCGCGATCCCCCAAGAGTTCGCGTAGCTGTCGATCACGCACGGCTGCCGCATCACTTTTCCCATGAAATCCGCTGGGTATGCCGAACAAAGTGGCTGCACTAGGCGTGGAACGCGCAAGTGCTGGGCTGCTAATACCTGGCACGTAGTGCTCGGGCATTGCATCCGCCACGATTGGCATCGAACTGCGGCCAGTGAAGAAGTTTCCACCGGTGAATGGAATTCCATCCATCACAAGGTTCTTGTCCTTGTCCGATTCCGAGAATGCGAACTTCTCTTTGGCGACTGGACTAACTTGACTTGGGGACCGTATTTCAGGGGATCGTACCTCATCTCCTACGGAAAAGGCAGGCATTACTTCCTTTCCTACGTGCTCCCAGCCAGACTCAGTAGTCCTCGAAGACATGGGCATGCTCGAAGGTCGCGTCGCTCCTCCTTGATTGGAGTTTCGCGCTGCCTCGAATTCGCTGCGTGTCCTCGCTTGAAGATCTTCTTGTGCTTTGAGCGTTTTCCTGAGTTCACTCAGCTCGTCGTGCAAGGTAGGCAATGATCGCCTTGCATGATCTTCATTATGATGGAGTCGATCCTCTGCCTCTTGCATCCTCTTCACAGCCATTTTGCGGTACTCTTCCTCTTCACCAAGACGTTCGCGAAGCCGAAATCGTTCTTGTTCAATGGCTGCGCTGTTTCCAGCTAGCCCTTGGATCTCGTTCACAGCCCGCAACTCCTGGTTCTTGACCAAGTGGGATCGTTCCTGCATTGCTTGTAAGGCTTGTTCCGAACTTGCTGTGTTTGACCGGAGGACCAAGTTCTCTCTGGCGTGTTCATGAAGTTCATGGGCAGGACGCTTCTACCAGTGCCAAGAAGCTCACCAAGACTTGCGCTTTTCTTTTTTTTTTTTTTTTGTTTTTGGTTTTTTTTTTTTTTTTTTTTTTTTTTTTTGTTTTTTTTTGTTTTTTTTTTTTTTTTTGTTTTTTTTTTTTTTATTTTGTGTTTTTTTTTTTTGCTCCAACTGCACAAAGGTGGTGGCTGCCTCCGTGCGGAACACGTGTAGCTGTTGAGCTAACTCCTCGGCAACGGCATGTGCTTGACGTTGTTGAGCAGAGTTCTGTTCATCCATGCGAAACAAAGCTGTTTCATAGTCTCGCTTCATCTCCTGATTGACATTGTTGATGTGCCTCATGGCTAAGCATGCATGGTCACGTTGTCGTTCCAATTCTTCAATGCGAATTCCAGCTCCTTCATCTTCTTGTTGCATCTCCTTGATCTTGTCCATCAGGGTCTGGACCACTCCTTCGTACTCTTGCATCTGACTGCGATAGTACATCTGCTGTGCAAGGTTCGATGCTTCGAATTGTTGCGAAATCGTCAGTTCCTGGTAGGCATTCGGACCATCAGCTATTGCAGGCGTGGCCACGGATGACGCATCACCACGCGCAGGAATCGTATCCAGAGTCATGTCCAGATCGTCAGTATCGCGTGGTTGATTGGTAACCATCCGATTCCAAGTCATGGACTTGTCACGCCAACGAGTAGCCGAAGTCCTCGATCGTGCTGAAGAGCTTCTCGAAGATGATGGTCTTGACTTCTTTTCCAAGGTCTTGACTCCTTTGTCCTTGGCCCTGGACGTAGTCCGAGGTGCCTGAAAACCAGACGCTTCGGCCCGTCGTTCTGAAGCCTTGCCCGTCCTCGAACCTGTGGATGTCGGACGCGAAGGCGTAGATGCTCGTGGTAGACTCTTTGCTTTCCCCTTGGGAACTGCCTTTGCAATGGCAAGCGCAGAAGATTGACCTTTGTCATCTTCCGTGGAGCTATCAACGGATTGCACCACTGTGTCGTCAGCTGTTGACTCACCAACGGCTGGCGCTGCCACATCGGCACCGAAAGTCATTGTCGTATCTTGGCTTGATCCTGAGTTCATTGTGGTCGTAGTAGATCAAGTAGTCGTTGCTGTAGAAAGGCAGAGCCGCGCTACGGCTGATAACCTGCGTGGGGGATTGATCTCGACTTGGTTGCTGCTCTCCCCACCAGAGCTGTAATGAATGTAGGTGTGGCTGGCTAGCACTCTCCACAGACTGGACCCTGTCTCTCCCTCTTACTTCCACACGTGCAATCCTATGCAGGCAGAACCGGCGGCCGTTCCTTTTGCACTCACTGCCGGCGGCGGTTCGTCTGTGAAACGGGATAGCTCTGATTGCTCAGGATAGAAGACACATATAGCACTTAGCTATGGGCATTGACTTGAGCCAAACGTTGCGTTGGCGGTCACATAGAATGGTGAAGATGAGGGACGCGTAGCGTGCCCCTAGAGTCGAGGGACGCGTAGCGTGCCCCCTTCTCTTGCACTTTACACGGTCTTGCTCACAGCTCTTATAGTGACACCTTAGAACATGACAAGGCATCGCAGTCCGTTCGCATATAGATGTATAGATATATAGATATATAGATATATAGATATATAGATATATAGATATATAGATATATAGATATATAGATATATAGATATATAGATATATAGATATATAGATATATGAATATGTAGATATATAGATATTTAGATATATAGATATATAGATATATAGATATATAGATATATAGATATATAGATATATAGATATATAGATATATAGATATATAGATATATAGATATATAGTTAGATATATAGATATATAGATATATAGATATATAGATATATAGATATATAGATATATAGATATATAGACACGGTTTTCCGAAACGCACTGTTTATAAACAAAGCCTGTGTTTATAAACAGACCGCCGGGTTTGAAACAATTCAGAGCTGATGTTGTAGTTGGAAACAAAAACATGCACGCATGCGCACCAAACGAGCGACCAACTGGCACAGAAACCCACGCACAACCATCCGAAACACACAAAATCACTGAAAATAGTGGGTTGCCAAAACGCAGGCCCCACAGCCTCCTCTTCTGTATAGATATATAGATATATAGATATATAGATATATAGATATATAGATATATAGATATATAGATATGTAGATATGTAGATATGTAGATATATAGATAATAGATATATAAATATAAAGATATATAGATACATAAGTATATGGATATTTAAATATATAGATATATAAATACAAAGATATATAAATATATAAATTTAAAGATCTGTAGATATACAGGTATACAGGTATATAGACATACCTATATGCACGCACAGTTTTTCAAACATGTAACCAACTAACCAACTGACCAACTGACTAACCAACTAACTATTGAGCTAGTCAGGTATGTAAGTAAATCATCAAATAGTTAGTGCTACATATTATATACAATATATCATAGAACGCAGTATAAGATATATATATATATATATATATATATATATCTTCATATCTTCAAACGCCGCAAAGAGGTCCTCGCGATGCGAACGTCCAGGGCAATCTGAGATCGGCATCTCGCAGATGCATGCCGAGAATTTCCCAGCACCCCTCACAGCAACAGTCCGGTTTTGGAACAATTTCCTACCGTAAAGCAAAGAGTACAAGAGTAAGAACTCGACTGAAGAAGTGCCTGTCATAATTCCAGAAAACATGTTGAGACCTGCCCGGCGCGGACGCCCCATGAGCGGCAGGTCGCCGGAGTGGCTACGAAGCAAAATCAAAGTATGGTGTTAGCTTCACAACAGGATATTCCCGAGAAGCTCACCGATGCCATCCTACAGTGCTCGATATATGAGTAAGTAGGAGTTTTGCTGTACAAGAGCTATGTCCTGAGGGTTCCAGGGCTGGGGTGGCTGATTATCCTCAGTGATGGCAATCGGCAGACCCGCCGAATAAAGCACCGTCCGATAATGCCCCGACGATCTGGTTGGTCCCAGATGAAACACAGAGGCAACAAGTTGATATGGTCTAGATGCTGTATGTATGCCGTCGGTTGTGTAGATCGGCACATGAACTACCGGTGTGAGGACTATATCCCCCAAAAGCTTATGGCCTAGATCATCAAACCTGCCAATCTGTAGGGGCAAAATCGCTGGCAGTGTCATGGCTGCTTGTCGCTGGGCCTGATAGTTGCGCCAGTCAACGATTAGCGATTGCACACTTATGACCCTATGCATGGCTGTGGCACCTGGGTGCAGGAGCGCCGGCAAGAGCATGGGCCACATTTTTCCATGATCGGTCACCTGAGCTGTATGTTCGGAGCTGGGATTACGGGTTTGCCAGTGTCCGGGCAAAAAGTCTGGGTGCAGCACATGTTCCAGAAACATCAGCAGCTCTGCTGCATCATGTTGCAAATGCGGAAGTTGCCATCCCTGTAGGGTTTTTCGCCAAAGGGGCACACTCCAAACCTCAACTAACTGGGGTTTACGAACCAACCACTGGGCCAGCCTCTGCATTGCAGGTCCAAGCATCGGCTGTCCTGCCGGGAGCATTGCATCGGCCCATAGGAGGGCGTACACAACGGCGTTGCAGTAGCAGTGATTGGAATGATTTACCAACCCCAAAGTGAGAATAGCATCTAGCCGGTCCTTCAAACGTCTTTCAGGAACCGTTCGATTTGCAGGGCCATCGGCGAACGGCCCAATTTGGTGGGGCGAAGGGTCGCACCCACCAGGTGCATGACCGAACATCTGCAGAGACGACGCATGCCCTGATAGAACTGCTGTGCTTCCGCATTCCTGTTCTGCACTTGCAAAATGAACGGCACTACCTCCGACTGATGCTGCTCGGATAACCTTCTCAGGGCATGGAACCTGCCGATCACATCCGGCATCGCCGTGAGCTGGGACAGGGCAGTCACCGTCCGGAGGGCCTCCTCGTAGGAAAGGGGGTCCTGGGTCGCCCGTACATGGCATTTCTTTTCGTGATCCCACTGGAGAAAGGGGAAGGTCTCGTCCACCACCAGCCCGAGCTTCTGAGCCGTTTCGAGCAGTTCCTTGTCGTGGTTGATCTTCTTGATCTTGTCGAGGAGGGCATCGAGAAAGCAGTGTAGCAAGACGTTTCGCATCGGAAGTTCCAGCTGCTTTGGATTTTCCTCCTTTTGGTTGTGCCACCGCTGAGCCACGGCATAGAGCCCCTGTGTGACTGACCATCCGTTGTCTCCTTCGTCCGTCCGTAGGAACACCATGAAATTGGTATCCAGACCCTGGATGGTCATTGAGTCCTCGACGCGGAGTAACATCCGCCCCATCAGGCGGACCATCTCCTTGAGCTCCTCCTCCTTCTTGTCCTTGGAGCTGCTCGGCTTCTGCTCCGTTTTCCACCACTGGCCCCCTGAGGAGCTCTGCCCCTTCTGTCGCCCCAGCTTTGGCCCCTTTGACCCGCTTGTCCCTGTCTCTGAGCCTGTGTTCGGCAGGGTCGAAGGCGCTGAGGTGTCCTGCGGATCCTCGGTGGTTCCCGGGGCTTGGCCTTTCTCCTGTCCCTTGGCAAACTTCTGGGCTGGGGTTTCCTCCGTTGCCTGAGGTCTTTTGGTGCGGTCCACATCCATCCCCTGCTCGCCGCTGAGGGATGGCGGAGGTCCGGTCGACAGATTGCAGTCCTCCGCTCGGTCCTTCATGTACCCGGAGAAGTTGTTCAGCTCCGCCCTGGCCTCCATCAGCTGGGTTTCGTCGAAGGACATCCTGGAGAGTGGGTTGACGTACATCTTTCAATGTGTGATGAATGTTCAGCATGTGCGCACAGACCCATAGAATGTGACAGGCCTGAAGATGCGCAGAGGCTCGATCGTATCGACTATGGCACCACTCGCAGGGGCTGGACAGCCTACCTCTGTTTTTGATCCATTTTAGCACCAGTGGCTGGGCTTCTCTGACACTGGCATGCATTTTGCAAGCATGTCTTGCAAGATATGCAGGGTTCGCAACCCATTGGTTACAAACTGGGCAGTGATGATGGCGGTTTGTTTCTCTCAATGCCCTTGCCAAGCCACGCAGGTCTCCTGCAGTCGCAAGCTGTTGAAGAGCCGTATTCTCAAAAGCTGGTACTGGCTCTTCGGTTACTTCAGGATTGATTTGGGTCTCTGTTCCAAGCCCCGGCGCGGACGCCCCATGAGCAGGCTTGGTAGGAGACTCAGGTTCATGCTGCGTGGGTACTGTGCCAAATTGATTAAGGTGATCCCGAAATAAAGCCGGACATGCATGCTGACTAAAGTGTCCCATGAATTGCGGCCAGCCATAGAATCTTTTGCCACAGTGCTTGCATTCCGGGAGTCCCCCGGCAGCATGCTTGCGAAACTCATCCCGACGTGCATTCTTGGCTGTTGTGCTAGTCTGTTTGGCGGGTCTGCTTTGAGGGTGGGATTTGCCCATGTGGACACTTAGGGCATGTGTGCTGGGGAAGGCCTGGTCGCAGATCGGGCAGGAGCACTGGAACCTCTGAATTTGAGTGACCTCTGTGAGTCTGGTCGGCACAGCCTCGCTTTGCGATTCTAAGTGGAACTCAGGTTGCTGAAAAGAAGCCTGGGTTAGGGACCACCATTGTTGGACATGTGCAGGCTGCAAGTGTGCTACTGCTGACCGAGTCTGACCAGAACTTGTAGAGGCGGATCGATGCCCAAACGAGTGAGCAAGGAAACCGTGGTTTCGTGCTCCACATGTGCTGGACTACGAGCAACCATCCTAAGTTGCTTGGCCACCGTCTGATTGAGTAGCTGCGAACTTATCTGATCAACTCCGGTCGCCGTGAGACCGTAGCTTATGACCGACCAAACCCCACTCTTCCATAGTTGAATGCGCTTCTTTAGGGGGACGGTGGTGTTTTTCAGGAATGGGTGGAGCCTGTGGAATGCCGTCCACGCCTGGCTGACTCGAAGTTGCATGCTAGCTCGTTCAAATGTAGTGTAGCCTATCTTCATACCCAGGTATGTATGGTGCACTCTCAGGGGAAGATACAGTTTTCCGAAGGGATCTTGCAGCTGGAGTAGACGCTCACCCCCTTTGCGTATGACAAAATCGGATAAGAGTTTCGCAGCTTCGGGACCCTTGATGGCTAGGATGACTACTGTCTTCTCTGTGGAGACAAGCATGCCCATAGCCTCTAAATCCCGTAGAATCCGAGGAAGCTGCTGACAGGCCAGTCTGAAATCCCTAGGGTGCTGAAATTCCCATTGAACATGAAAATCGTCCGCATACTCCGTGAGGGCCTGTGTCGGCATATAGTTGACCAGTTTGCGGTGGATGGCTATGGTGTATGCCAGCCAAAGCAGTGGTGCCAAACCACATCCCTGACGAATTCCACTATGCATTTCAACACTTTGTTGTCCGCTAGGGCCTGCTAGGACAACCTGGGCATTGTCATGTATATGAAGAATAAGTGCTATCAGATCCTGTGGAATCTGAAGGGGTCCATTAGGGATGCAAGTAACTGTCGGCGGGGTATGCGGTCGAAGGCCTGCTTTAAATCTAATGACAACTGCATGCCACCACAGAATCCTGGTTGCTTTTGTCCAGCACGTTTACTGAATATGTCATGCTTATGAGCCTGAAGTGCAGTGCGGACTCTGTGACAGTGTGCTAGGACACGTTCTAAGGCGTCGCCCGTCTGTCTGCCACTGGCATAAGCAAATTGAGGAATGTGTTGGAGAGCTAAGGTCAGGAATGGCCTAAGGCGTTCTGCTGCGACTCTCGCCAAGATTTTAGCTTCAGCTGGAAGCAGGTTTATTGGCCTTAAGTTGGCAGGCTTGCAGGGTGGCTTACCTGGTTTAGCTAGCAACACCATGTAGGATGTCAGGATCTCCCCCACGAGACGGATGGGCCCCGCACACAGTCCGCTGTTGAGCTTATGACACACTCTAGTCGTAAGATCGTCCTCTGCCAGTCGCCAGAGTACAGCAGGCATCTGGTGCTTGGGTAAGGCTTTGCGGGCTGACAGGGCTCTTATGGCTTGACGTGTCTCAGCTGGCGTTATGTCAAAGTCTGCAGTGAGGCTCCACTTCCGCGGGCTGTGCGTTGGATCTGCATACAGGTCTCGGAAAAAGGCTGCAGTGGCTGCAAGTTCCTCCACCTGTGACATCAGCGAGCCATTCGGGTGGCGAAGATGAATAGTACGCTTGGGTGTCTTAGGTCGGAGACAATTGATTAGCTGGCGCAGGCCAGTGAAGCCAGCCTTCGAGGCTGCAGATGTCTGCTGGATGAGGGCATCATTTTCTCGATTTTTCGTTGTCTAGCTCTCGTCCTGATAGCCTTGTTGCATCTGCTGAAAGCGTGGCTGTCCCGCCACAGTCTGAAAAGTCTGCCTACGGACCTGAGGACTGCTGGTTTTTGATGCTCCCATCCAGTGGACGGAGAAAAAGTGGAGATCATCCCCAGAAGAGGAGAGGTAAAGGATTGGCAGCCTAGCTGGCTGTCTCGCAAGGCTGTCTTTGCGCTCCAGAGCTGTTTGAGCGACCATTCTGGGATGGAGTGAGGGATAGAAGGTGCTGTTCCACCCGACACAGACTTGGCTGCCTGAGTGGCCTGAGTCCAGGCCCTACCTATGGCTGAGTCTATGGCTTGCTCTGTTACCGGTTCCAAATCAAGAAACTTACGGAAGGAGGATTCAAGTTCCGGGTTATCTGCCAGGGATTGCCGAACCTGTCTAGGGGTGGTGATCTTGTTGGGGGTCGCTCTGGGGAGAGAGGGCTTGGGCACAGAAGCCATTACTGGCACACATCTAAGCCCTGTCGGATGCACAATTGGCGCTCCGGGTACTGCTGCTGCAGCTCTGGCCAGAGGGCTGCCCGGCAGTCGGGTGCAGATGTAGTCAAGAGTTCAAAGTGTAAGGGACAGGAGTTCAAACAAGAGCCGAGGGTGCAAAATGCAAGGGGCAAGAGTTCAGTGCAAGGGGCAAGTTCAAAATGCAAGGGGCGAGGGTTCAAAATGCAAGGGTTCAGTGCAAGGGGCGAGGGTTCAAAATGCAAGGGGCAAGAGTTCAAAGCAAGGAGCGAGAGTTCAAAGTGCAAGGAGCAAGGGTTCAAAGTTCGGGACAAGGGTTCAAAGTGCAAGAGACAAGGGTTCAAAGTGCAAGAAGCGAGGTAGAAAGTGTTAGACTCTAACAGTTAGAGGCGACGGCTCGAAGCGCAAGGGGCGAGGGTTCAAAGTGCAAAGGGCGAGGGTTCAAAGTGCAAGAGGCGAGCGTTGAAAGTGGTTCCAGAGTGCAAGGGACGAGGGTTCAAAGTGCAAGGGGCGAGGGTTCAAAGTGCAAGGGTCGAGGATTCAAAGTGCAAGAGGCGAGGGTTCAAAGTGCAAGGTGCCAGGGGCCAGGGTTCAAAATGCAAGAACTGTAGCTTTGGAATCTTTCTCCGCGGTGCATCTTTTGAATTTTTCACGGGCGACGTGCCGACGCAACTGTGTTTTTCAAGAGTGAGCGCGTCGACGCAATTCGATTTCACGGTTTCAAGGGTGAGCGTCTGCACAACTGTGTTATTGAAAGGTGAGCGTGACGCACTGTGTCTTTTGAAGCGGAACTGTATCTTTCACGGGCGCTGACACGACACAACTCCGTGTCTTTCAAGGGCTTGGCGCGCAGACGACTGTATTTTCAAGGGCGGGCGCGCGGACACAACTGAATCTTTCAAAGGTGAGCGCGCCGATGCACTTGTATCTTTGAAAGGTGAGCGTGCATGACTGCCGCATTTCAATTTTGTGAACATCCTGTGCAAGTTGACAAGGTGTGCCTGGCATCCTTTGGCAGAGCGGGGGGGGGCACAACTGGCATGAAATTTGCGTTTTGCCAGGTGAGGTGTTTGGATGTGGCATGTTCTTGGAGGAAGGCTCAGAAAGCAGTCATGTCGATGAGGGTGTGTGTGTGTGTGTGTGTGGTTTGTGTGGTTTGAATTTGAGCAATGACAGTGACTGTGACCTGGCTTGCAAGTGTTGCTGGTTTGCACCTTGAAGTCTTGACTTGTGAAGATGCACATTGGAAACCTTCTTGTGTAGGTCTTGCTAGGCCGCAATTGTTTGATGCCACCACAATCGTTAGTCAATTGTCTTTTCGTTAGTTAATATGAGTTGACAACCAATATTAAACTATTTGTTCACTCACAGATAGAGTTGACAACTTATTTTAGCGTTCTCGCAGTACACTAGCTAGCGTATCCTCCCGCCACCTCCCTCTACACCTCCGGGGAGTACGTAGCAAGCCTAGCTTAAGCTAGCTGGCTTCACGCAGTAGCACGGACAACACGAACTTCTCTCTTTTTAGCGTTGTGGCGAAGTCCCGCGTTAGCCCGGAGAAGAACTCTAGCCTTTGGCTAGCTAATCTCCAGGGTGGGTTGGGTGGGCACTCGAAATTTGCCCCCCAATAGCTGGGGGCCTTTCAGCACAATGGCCACGGAGTAGCACTGCTTCACCGGCCATGTGCAGACACTCTAGCAAACAGACAAGCTTCGTTCTGTTTAGCTTCAGAGGAAAACCCCTTCGACGTTTTCTAGCGAAACACCTTCGATGTTTCCCAAAGGGATACTAGCGCTAGCATACACTGTCGTACCTCGTCCCTCGGCACGAGTGCGTACACTAGCTAGCGTATCCTCCCGCCACCTCCCTCTACACCTCCGGGGAGTACGTAGCAAGCCTAGCTTAAGCTAGCTGGCTTCACGCAGTAGCACGGACAACACGAACTTCTCTCTTTTTAGCGTTGTGGCGA